ACAGGGTGCACAATTATGTAATTTTCATGATCATTGGGATCTTCTGTTCAAGATTTTCAATGGATTTTGGGGTATATTTCAAAATTTTAAAAATTATGAAAATGATAGTGATGCGTGTGGGGGTAAAGGAGTAATTTTATATTCCGTCGGTGGCCAGATGTTAATTAATAAATATTTTGTTATAATATAAGTTGTTATTAATAAAAAGTCTTCCACTTCCACTACTCATTTGCATTTTCAATTTTTTTATTTTGTCAATTATTTCTTATTATCATCGATAAAGAGACGAGAGAGAGAAAGGGCCCCAACAATGTTCACATGTTTGCTTAACCAAAGTAATGTTTACATTGTTTTTTTGTGGTTCGTAGAGAGTTTCGGCTTTGATTTTTTAGAACAAAAATTTTACATAACTATTTACATAATATTGAGATGCCAAAGTGTAAGTGAAAGTTATTTAATTGATAAGATTTTGATCCAATTAAATCTTTCTACATTATCTGTTGGTAAACCATTATATAAGTTGTTATGTACATTACATGTAATACATGCGGTTAAGAGTTAGTGTAAAATATTTATTTACTCTTTAAATTAAGTTATTTGTACAACTTGGTTAACGGATTGGTGATGTTGAAGTTTATTTACTCTTTAAATCTACCGGATCACTCTTTGAATCGATCAAATAAATATGTGTAATAAACTACATATTTATAATACAAAAATCTCTAATATAATAAAAGAATTAATACAAAAATAAGGTGAAGTCTTATTACAATAGTTAAACTAAAAATCAATACTGGAGTATTTGCGTTGAAATATGAGAGAAAATTTGTCAAAATCGGGAAATCTTTTCCTTGTCGTCTTTTACCTTTTCAAGACTTTTGCAAATTTACTATCAATTCTCAATACTCATCCAGCAATATTTTCGAATTTGGGTCACAATCGAACTCTAACATAAATATTTTTGGCCCTTTATAATATAATTCGCAATCATTGCTGAAAAAATCTGGTCATAATCGACGCGAAACAAATAGAACTTGCAATACCAAAATTAAGACTAGATGAGTTGGCATTGCAAT